CCCCCCCCAAGATCCATACTTGCAGAGATCTAATGGGCACGGTGCCACCGTTATTACATCCATCGCTGCAATGCTCCCTCTGTTGGCCGCACCTGCACATTACAGCCTCATAGACTTCTATGGGGCTGCTCCCTCCACAGATCCCTACTTACTGAGCTCTAACAGGCACAGTTCTGTTGTTTACATCCAGCACTTCAATTCTGCCTCTGCTGGCCACTCCTGTACATTACAGTCCTATAGACTTCTATAGGGCCGCCCCTCCACAGATCCGTAGTTACCAAGATCCAATAGGCATGGTTTTGCGGTTTACATCCAGCACTGCAACACTCCCTCTAGTGGCCGCACCTGCACATTACAGTCCCATAGACTTCTATGGGGCAAACTTCCATCAGGGAGATGGGCGCAGACAGAAGGGGGAGACTTGTAGAGCTAGATCTCAACAAATAGCGGGGGCAGCGGCCCTTGGATCTCAATAAGTACAGATCTGTGGAGGCAGAGGTCATTTAGATCAAAGGGAGCAGGGGCAAAAAGTGCACTAATCCTTTAAGCTTTATGATAAAAGCTGAATACTATAAGCACCACCAGCAGTTTGTTAGGGTTTGTCCTAAACCCTGTAATTGTCATTTTGGCTGGACAGCTTGGTCAGTTACGGCACAATCAACAGGTAATAAAACAGTAAACGATCCTGCCCACCCCCTCCACAGATCCATACTTATCGAGATCCCACAGGCACAGTTCCGTAGTTTACATCTAGGACCACAATGCTCCCTCTACTGACCACACCTGCCCATTACAGCCCCATAGATTTCTATGGGGCCGTTCCCTCCACATATTCACACTTGCTAGGATCCAATAGACACAGTCCCGCAGTTTACATCTAGCACCACAATGCCCCCTCTACTGGCCACACCTGCACGTTACAGGCCCATAGATTTCTATGGGGCCATCCCCATCCACAGATTCATACTTGTCAGGATCCTATAGTGCCGCAGTTTACATCTAGCACCACAACGCCCCCTCTACTGGCCACACCTGCACATTACAGGCCCATAGACTTAGATAGGGCGGTCTCCAGGAGACGGTTGCAGACAGGAGGGGGGGGACTTGCAGCGTTGGATGTCATCCAAACAGCAGAGCAGTGGCCCCGAATCTAGGTAAGTACAGATCTGTGGAGGGTGAGGGTGGAAGCATTTGGTTGAGGGGAATGGGGCAAAAAGAATATGCACACTTTGTCTAAAAATGCCTTTATCCTTTAAGCCATATAAATAAAATGTTGGCCGTTATACAGTGGCGTCACAAGGGCGGGGCGGACCGCACCCGGGTGACACCAATGGAGGGGTTACACCGCAATGACTTACAGTACAGTCATTGTGGTGTCACCCCCTCTAAAAAGTAATGGACCGAGAGTCCGACAGTGTCAGGAGAGAGGAGGGGACCCAGCAGCATACCTCATCCCGCCGGGTGAACGTCCCCTCCTCTCACTGCCGTGGCCAACAGACAACACCCAGAGCTGTTCCTGCCAATACCAAGGCTCACAGGGCTTTACATACACCTATGGATTGCTGGGAACACGTACGTTGGCTGCGGCTTCTCTTTATGGGCCAGCCTGATATTTAACTAAAATGCCCGGTGCCCGGAACTGCATGTCCCGGGCATCAGGAGATAGGAGTTCCACACCCCTGCTGCCCCAAGGCCGGGCCTTGGTTGGCCTTGTGGGAAATCCGGCCCTGATCTGAGGGCCGTATTACTACTGGGTTGCGAGATCTTGACTTGGCTTACGGGATAAAAAGGAATTATTATTTTATACCATTAGATTTTTCTTACTTATACAAGTGCAGAAGCAGAGCCGTAACTACAGATCATGGGGCCCTATAGCAAAAATGTGATGAGTGGTTATATATATGTCTCTTGGTGGCCTCCTTCTTTAGTCTCCCTGTCAATGGTGGCACCCCCTCACTGGTGCCCCTCCTCTGTAGTCTACTCCGCCATCACAGGTGGCCCCCCTCTCTAGTCTCCCCTACTCACTGGTAGCCTCCCTGCCTAGCTCTCCAGCCCCCCGCCCACTGATGGCCCCCTCTCTAGGTCATCCCTTCTCAATGGTGGCCTCCCTGTCCAGTCTCTCCCTCACTGGTGGCCATCCTCTATCTCCCTCTTTAGTCCTCCCCTTTGGTGGCCTTCCTTTATAGTCCCCATCAAATAGGCATACCCACAAAAATCCTACACTTGCCTGCCCCTATTCCCCAGAGACTTTCACTGCAGGGTCCACCGAGAGCTACACAGACCTCACAAACAGTCTACCGATTGGGAACAGCAGAAGCTCATGGACATTCAAATCGACATTCCAGCCATCATTGATGAAGACGGACTTTCCATAGAAATTACCGGTGATGCTACTGCACATGTATGACCTCCTGAAGATCTGCAGATTTCATAGCCGTCTGCCTAGCTGCAGCATTCATGAAAGCACCACTGGCCTAGAAGCTATTTGAAGGTTCAATTTTTTTTACCAGAAGATATAGACTTTAATAGCTACTCACCTGGTCAAAGAGCTGTTTGCCGGTGGTGTTCGGCTGGATGGCAAACTCCAGCTCTGCATCCATCGTGGTCACACGTACGCTGATCTGAAAGAGAAAAGAAAAAAGATATTTCATGCATGGAAGAAATTATAAATTAGATACTTGTATCTACATTATGCCAATATGTTCATTACTTGATGTTATCCTGCAACATGACGACTTAAAGGGGCTCATGTATTAAGCTGGGTGACTGCCAGTCGCACACCATTACCAGCACTAGAGTGATCGGAGGAGCAATGGAAATTCCTATGCTGGGGCGGTAGTAGCTTTCCTATGCTTCTCTGTGCCATCTAGTGGTGGTAATGCCGCTCCTATGCTTCTGTGCCATCTAGTGGTGGTAACACCATTCCTATGCTTCTCAGGGCCATCTAGTGGTGGTAACACCATTCCTATGCTTCTCAGGGCCATCTAGTGGTGGTAACACCATTCCTATGCTTCTCAGGGCCATCTAGTGGTGGTAATGCCGTTCCTATGCTTTTCAGTGCCATCTACTGGTGGTAATGCCATTCCTATTGCTCTCTGTGCCATCTAGTGGTGGTAACGCCATTCCTATGCTTTTTGATGCCATCTAGTGGTGGTAACACCATTCCTATTGCTCTGTGCCATCTAGTGGCAGTAATGCCCTTCCTATGCATCTTGGTGCCATCTAGTGGTGGTAATGCTGCTCCTATGCTTCTGTGCCATCTAGTGGGGTAATGCCCTTCCTATGCTTCTCTGTGCCATCTAGTGGTGGTAATGCCGTTCCTATGCTTCTCTGTGCCATCTAGTGGTGGTAATGTCGTTGCTATGCTCCTCTGTGCCATCTAGCGGCGGTAATGCTGTTCCTATCCTTCTCGGCGCCATCTAGTGGCGGTAACGCCGTTGCTATGCTTCTCTGCCATCTAGTGGTGGTAATGCCATTCCTATGCTTCTCTGTGCCATCTAGTGGCAGTAATGCTGTTCCTATGCTTCTTGGTGCCACCTAGTGGTGGTGATGCAAATACCTGCTGATCCTGCCAGCCACCGGCACTTCCTGAAGCAATCTGACCAAGCCAAGCACTAATTCAGATCCATGCTGACGTGGTCAGTATGCGTCCCTCAGCTTTCTGGCCAGAGCTACATGATGGCATGCCAACGCACATCTTTGCTGCAGTATGGTAATCAGATTTGCTGCCACTCCCCTCCAGCCCCATTTAGCTGACAGAGCCCCGGAATGGACTTCCGTTGTCCCGCACATCCTTCTGCTGCCCACTCTCAGGCAATGCAGATATGGCCCCTTTGCTCGGGAAAAGGGAAGGTCAAGGAAGGTGTGCGGTCACATGACCACAGAACTGCAAAATAAGGTATGCAACTAATATTTTCAACAAAAGGGCCTTTTATAAGATAATTTTTGGGAGTACGATACCATGCTTTCCTTTATTAGGACTTCACATACAGTATACTTTAGTTTCTACATGTATGCCATTAGCCTTCGTCTCTCATTATACAATGTATACATCGAAAAAGAGAAATGTATGGCTCAATCTGAGTTTTCTGCTGAAGAGCTAGAAAACCGATGAGCAGAAGCTGCGAGACAACGGGATTCCCATATGCATCGCAAAATGCAGTTTATGCAATACGCGCCCCTCCTCCACCTGTGTGGTCAGATCTGAGCCTGGTACGGCTATCAGTCAGTACATTCCTCAGACCACTAACAGGGTCACTCATATTTCTCTGGCGTAGCAGTCAAGTGGTGAGCAAACAAGTCAACCCTCGCAAGAATTTCCATGCAGAGCTCAACTATGAAGGCTGAACATTAGGCGTGAACTAGATCCCAAACCGAGTTAAAAGGCCGCGGCCAACAACAAACAGCCCTTCCAAGCCATTTAAAATAACCATAAAATTACAATTCTGATTAGTTGCTACCGGCAGTAAACTCATTCTTGTTTTCTCTGCAGATTGTAAATACAAGGCAGAGACCAAAATCAAAAAGACCTTCCCTAAAACTATTAAAGGCTAAAAGTTCTGCCCCTTTTTATGTCATATAGGGTGATGTGTGACTGATTTTGCCCAGGATATGCCCAAGAATGCAGATTTGCCTCAGTGTAAATGCTGCTTCCAGCTCTCACACTGTGCTGGCAGAGCTGAGTAACAGCCACGCCCCTCAGCACTCCTCTATACTGGCAGAGCTGAGTAACAGCCACGCCCCTCAGCACTCCTCTATACTGGCAGAGCTGAGTAACAGCCACGCCCCTCAGCACTCCTCTATACTGGCAGAGCTGAGTAACAGCCACACCCCTCTGTACAAGTGTTCTCACACAGACTTGTATTGCAGGGAAGGGGGGATACTCGTGTCTGACCAGGTCTGTTCCATTATTGAGTGCACTGGGTCTAATGCTGGGCACACACCTTACAACCATCGCAAGTCTTTTGTCTTGCGATGGTTAAAAAAAACGTACAATCTGCCTATCTTGGACAGGCAGATCGTACTTGCGATGATCACAAGCCACGCCCCCCTGAGGGGCGGGCTTCCGATGACCGCAATGCCGAACGGGCAGTGTGCGCTTGCCATATTGTTCGGCTTTTATCTTACCTTTTATCTTACGAACATGCTACACACCCGCCGAACATCGTACGATGCTCGGCGGGTTTTCGAACATGTTCCTAAGTTAAAGTAGTGCGACCATACAGTAGTAGAGGTCGCACGGCTTCCACACACCTTACGATAATCCTACGATCGCGGGATTTCCGCGATTATCGTACGATTATCGCAAGGTGTGTGGGGACCTTAACTCTGGTGCCTATTGGACTGCAGTTATATTTAGAGTCCTAGCACAGCCACTTTAACAGGAGGTAGATTTTCATTTAGACAGAATTTGTAGTAACAACCGAAGAACGTAGAGTTGGACTTTATATTTACTTAGGAAAGATGAAGGTATATTAAGAGCAAGGAACCATTGCCAGTTTCTGCTTTTCACCACTTGGTGAAATGGACCCCTATGAAGATGGTACCTGTAAATCCTCATTAGGGATACAATCATAACACACAGCCCGGCTTACAATCAGGAAGCCGGGCGGTGTGTTACGACCCGCCGCCCTGATTGGCTAGCAAGCCGGCTTCAGTTGTTACTAGGCAGCCTGTCTTCTCTCTTTCCCTTCAATGGTGAATGGTCTGATGTTCATAAATAGACAGTAGAAGCAGCACCGTGAGGAAAAGTGTTGGAAGTGTAGAGAGAGCTATCCCCCAACCTTTCAACTTCAAAGATCTTGTCTTAGGTACAAGCCTACTTAATTTGTGCCAAGACCGTACAACCACACAAGTTATGGTGGGGGTGGGCTAAAAGGAACCAAATAAAAAAAGGCCCCAACTTAACCAAAGTCAAGCAGAGCAGAAACTTTCTAAAATGGAAGGTATCGAACCCGTCTCACTTTCATCACAAACCAAAAGGTATATTTTTATTTTTGGGTAGTTGGCAAAGAGAACAAATCATTGCGTATTTTAGGTGTGTGCGGCATAAACTCAAGAACCCAGATATGGTCGAAGACAGCAAAAAAAGAAAAAACGGCAGAAATGTTGTCGATCCATAGACTGATAAAAAATATATTTTGTGGGTTTTTCCATGAAGTCATATGGGAGCTAAAAAGCATATCAAATAAAATACATCTGCAACCGAAAAGTGTGCCGTCGGGGTCAGATGGACTTTGGGTTATGCCATCGATCATATAAGACATGACACACAAAGCCCTTCTCTCTACTTCTCACTAAGGCCAAAAACCCTGCTGCTCAGAGACTTCATACACTTTATGGCCAAAGGTCTGTGGACGCCCAATAATCACTTCTATCAATATGGTCAAAAGTATGTGAACCCCCCCTCCAAATGATTTCCAGTGAAGTGTACTGTTCATACTACATGATACAAAGACATTGTAGACAATTGTGCTCTTCCAACCTTGTGGTAACAGTTTGGTGAAGGCCCTTTTCTGTTCCACCATGACTCTACCCTGTGTACAAAGCCAGCTTCATAAAAGACATGGTTTGACCAGTTTGGTGTGGGGGAGCTTGAGTGTCCTGCACAGAGCCCTGACCTCAACCCTACTGAACATGAATTGGGATGGATTGGAACATGGATTGTGAGCCACATCTTCTCAAATGGGCACAAATTCTCACAGACACACTCCAAAGTCTTGTGGAACGCATTCCCAGAAGAGTGGAGGCTATGATAATGCAAAGGGGGCAACTCCATATTGTGTGAAAAGAGATGGTAATGGTGATGAGGCCAATCACAGGAAGGTAACAGGAGATGAGGGATGATTAGAAGACTAATTATGGAAGGTGAGGAAAGATGAGGGATGGTGAGGAGCCCAAAACAGAGAGGTTGATTGGGAATTGATTGAATCCATAAAGACATGGTGTGTCCGGTTGGTGAAGACCCTTTTCTGTTTCACCACGACTGTCACGTGTACAAAGCCAGCTCAATAAAGACATGGTGTGACCAGCATGGTGTGGAGGACGTCGAGTGTCCTGTACAGAGCCCTGACCTCAACCCTACTGAACACCTTTGGGATGAATTGTAACACCAATGGTGAGCCAGGTCTTCTCATCCAACATCAGTACCTGACCTCAAAAATGGACACAAATTCCCAGACACCCTCCAAAATCTTGCGGAAAGTCTTCTTAGAAGAGTGGAGGATGTTATAGTCACAAGGAAGGGGCAGGCAACTCTACAATAATGACCAAGGTTTTGGAATGGGCTATCCAACAAGCTCATATAGGTGTGATAAGGTGCCCACAAACCTTTTGGCCATATAGAGTAGAATAAATCTTTAACAATTCACAGAAATCAGTGGTCAAATCTTTGCTGTCAACAATTAGGTAAATGTATCTTACAACGCAAAGGAATAGCTAAAAGTCAGTGAGTCCCAAGGACAAAATGTCTTCCAGGCCTGCTTTTGCTAAATGTTCAGGTGATTATGTGTAGGATTTAGGGTGCAAATCTGTTTTTCTATGAACATACTAGGAATGAAACATGGCCCCCCGTAGACATGCAATATTTCCAGACACAAGAGGAAAAATGCATTGGCCACGT